ACTGAAGGAGTTTCATGCATCTGTGGCTCAGTGCTTGGCATCTTTCCTAAGTGGCCCCCAGTTATGTTCTTTGGTTCATTGTCTCATTTAGATAACTTTTGAAACTCAGGTAATTCTAACAGTATTCGTTGAATTTGGGGGGTAGAAATTATTTTAATCAGATTGCTTTCCAACTTAGCTCCACTCCACTCCAACTCCACTACAGAGAGGAAATTGGGATTTCGATTAGGGAAAGGGAAAAGGAGATTCTGGAACTTTGGGCTAGTTCTGAAGGGGATTCCACAGGCGAGAGGGCAGGCATATCTGTTTCCCAGAGGTTGCAAACATATCCCATAGATATGCTTTATTTGACCCATAGTGTTTTAAAAAACTGAATTAGGAGGCTGGCTCTGTGGCCTATTGGTTAAGTTTGGCATGCTCCCCTTCAGTGGCCTGGGTTCACAGGTTCACATCCTAGGTGTGGACCTACACCACTCTTTGGCTATGCTGTGGCAGTGACTCACATACAAAATAGAGGAAGATTGGCACAGATGTTAACTCAGGGCTAATCTTCCTCAGGAAAAAAAAAAAGGAATTACTTGCCAACATTTATAAACTGAGAAAGTTCATAGAAAACTCTAGGTTTTGGGTTTTGGATTCTCTTGAAAAAATCAGGGCCTGATTCCTGCACGACATTGATCCGCTGGAGCTGAATAGCAGGCTCCTTGGGGTGGGGGCTGCACTCTCCAGTTTGCCAGAGCCCCACTCCTCACAGGTGTCAGTTCCATGGGCCAACTTCACTCCATTGATACCTGCCTGGCTCCTATAGACAGGGAGGGAGTCGCCCTGATCTAACTTCTGCCAACCTTCCTCTTTTTTTTTTTCCTTCCCCAAGCCCCAGTGCTTGGTTGTATATCCTAGTTGTAAGTCCTTCTAGTTCTATGTGAGCCACCCCTACAGTACAGCACCTGACAGACGGGTGGTGTGGTTCCGAGACCAGGAAGCAAACCTGGACCACCAAAGCTGTGAGAGCCCCGAACTTTAACCACAAGGCCATGAGGGCTGGCTCCTTGCTTTTTTTTTTTAGCTTCTTATCACACCATGAGGGGAAAGGATCATGTTCTCCCATTGCTGTTGGGTGGCTCCTAGTGTCCCTACTTAGCTAGGCTGAGACCTCAGCAGCTCAGAGTGGTGAAGAAGGGATGGGAGCAGGGGGAGCCCACCCAGCCAGGACTTCCACACCCGTAAGCAGACCTATACAGTTCTGGAAGACAGACCAGATGAGGCCTGATGGACAGTGGTGTAGAGAAGGGGTCGTAGAGCCTGATGACAGAAGTACGGTGGCTGGAGAAAAGGTCAGGAGCAGCTTCCTGGAGGAGTGGCTGGCCTGCAGACCCAGACGGGAGCTGGAGAAGAAAGCACAGCAGGCGTTTGTGCTGCACCCACAGTTCCGGCAACGAGCAAGACGTACATTCCCTGCGCTTGGTCCACTTACGGCCTGAAGGGGACGGGGAAAGGGAGCAGAGTGATCACAGATCTCAGAAGGGCTTCCTGGAAGCGACTTTTATCTACAGGGTTGGAAAGGGTGAGCTGACACCAGGAGGACAAGAGGGAGCGTTTACAGAGCTGGGCAACGGGACTGTAGGCGGAGGATCAACATGTGCAAAGTCTCTGAGGCCAGAGCGTGGCAACCCTGGCCTGAAAGCAGGCCAGTGTATGTAGGGTGTGGTCAGCAAGGAGGAGAGTGTGGAAGCCAGAACAAATATGGCTTTAAGGGCCATGGTCAAAGGGATAGATTTTATTTGAGGACTAACGGCAAATTTTAGGCAACTTGAAAGTCATGCTGGGATATAGCAGAGGCAGAATCTCACCTCGCATGCTCTCGGGCCCCACCTCTGGGCGAAGCCTCGAGAAGGGCTCTTGGCTCTCAGCTCTGGAGCGAGGCTGAGGGGAGAGTCCGCTTGCACTCAGCCCACTGGGTTTGGAGAGGCTGGAGTTGACTGCAGGCCTGACTCCTCCGTCTTATGAAGTCCACCGGATGTGCTGCTCCAGTTATTCCCCCTGACAGAGTCTTTGCTTGACCAAACTCTAGTCAGATTCCTGAAGCTGCTCCTAGGCCCCTCAGTGCACTGCCTTGTAAAATCAATTTTAGCAAAAACCCAGCTAAGTTGGTTTAACCGGAACCTCCCACCCTTGATATCTGATCCCCTCGATATCTGGTGGGGTCCCTCATCCTCCGCCATTGCCCAGGTGGTGTCTGATCGCCCCAGCCTGTCTGCAGCAAGAATCCTGTTGGGTCAGTTTACCCCGAATCCCCTGACTCCTGATCTTCTTCTTAGTAAGTTTCCATCCACCAATCCCAGCCTGCTCCTGGGCTGTAAGTGCCCGCTTGGCCACGCTGCATTCGGAATTGAGCCCCGTTCTATCCTGAGGTCTCTTCTCCCCCACTGCAATAGTCCTGAGCGAAATCTGTTTGTACCACTTTAACTACGGTGCAGCTCTGGTGTTTCTTTGACATCACGGTAGGGCCTGGGCCTGGGCTTCTCTAGGAAATAACTAAGCATAGCAGTTCATAGTCCAACTGACCTGCCCTGAATTCCCTGATTAGCTGTGTGTCCTTAGGCACCTTTCTTTACCCTTCTGGGCCTTAGTTTTCCATCAGTAAAAATGGACGAGGAACACTGGCACAGATGTTAGCTCAGCAACCGTCTTCCTCACACACACAAAAAAAGGGGCCAGCTAGTGATGTAGTGATTAACTTTGCGGGCTCCGCTTCAGTGGCCCAGGGTTCATGGGTTGAGATCCTGGGTGTGGACCTACACATCACTCATCAAGCCACGCTGTGGTGGCATCCCACGTACAAAATAGAGGAAGATTGCCATAGATGTTAGCTCAGCGACAATCTTCCTCAAGCCAAAAGAGGAAGATTGGCAACAGATGTTAGCTCAGGGCCAGTCTTCCTTACCAAAAAAAAGAAAAGAAAGAAAAAAAGGAGATAATACTTCTGAGGGCTTTATAAGGATTAAATGAGGTCACACCAAAATACATATCACAGTGCCCGGCACTTAGCATTGACTCAGTGTTTACACTGATTAGTGTGGATACTGTTGTTACCTTTGTTGATTCCTGTGTGTTGTCAGCAGGAGCCGAGTACACAGTTTGTACCAGGTCCACGTTTGTTTGTTTGTTTAATTCACTCGATTACCCTTTCCTGAGGGGCCTGAAGTTTGGAACCAACACCAGAGCACTGCCCTGGCATCAGGAGTCAGTGCCCAGCTTTGCTGCCTCTGAGTGGGGGGAGGACTTGGCTGACCCCTCACCTCTCTGGGTGGCGGCCACCCTGCTCTGCCTTTCTCAGAGGGAGGGCTGTGGCAGGGAGCAAAGGAAGCCATGGGTGGGAACCCTCTTTGTGAACTTTAAGTTAATACAAACACAAGGGATTGTCATTAAAAGTGACGAGTCCCCCTTGATTAGAGCATTTCTTTAGGGAACAAAAACGGCGCTCGGTCATCTGGAGGACCCCCGCGGGAATGGGGACCTCCCAGCACCTCTGTGGCGAGGGCTTGAGTCTTTTGAGACGCCGTTAGTGTTGTGGTTAGTGGTCATAAAGCACCGGAATTGTGCCATCCTGGTTTTCTCCCTTATAATTGCATTCACCTTGAAAACCACAAGGAGCAGCGGGTCCCAGTGGTAATTATTTCACTCGAAAACTAATTGGAAGTTGAGAGAGCGCTCAGTTTTTGCTTTTGTCGAGACAGGCGGAGGAAAGAGATGAGCAGGTGGGTCTGGGGGAAGGAGGGGGCCTAAGGACACACAGCTAATCCGGGAATTCAAAGCATCCCAGACTGAACACGTCCAAACCCGAGCTCCTAATCCTCCCTCCACCCCCAGAGCTCCTAAATGCATCTCCATCCTTCTAGTTGCCCGGGCCCTAAACTGGAGTCGTTCTTGACTCCTCTCCAGTCCCCACCCCTTTTCCATCAGCAAATGAGTTCTACCCTAAGAATGTATCCAGAATTTGACCCTTTCTCACTGTGACTTTAAATACAAGTCAGACCACGTCATTCTTCTGTTTAAACTCTGCGATGGCTCCCATCTCTCCAAGGGGGAGACCCAAAGTCCTTACCGTGGCCTCCAAGGGCCCCCCTGAGCTGTCCTCCTGCCCCCTCTCAGCCTCCTTTCTTTCCACTCACACCCTCACCCTGCTCTAGCTGGCTGCGCTGACCCCCTTGCTCTTCCTCCTTCCGCACTCTTGCCTCAGGGCCTTTGTGTTGGGTTTTCACTCTGCCTGGAATGTTCTCTACCCAGATATTCACAAGCCCAACCCCTTCTCTTCCTTCAGGTCTTCACTTAAATGTCGCCTCCTCCGTGAGGCCTTTCCTGACCCCTACACAGCACACATACATGTTATAGATAAAATGATGCCCCCCAGCACTCTCTAGCCTTAAATTTATCTCCTTTGCAATTGCCACCATCTGACATATTCTCTGTCTCTTTGTTTTTGTTATTCTTCCTCCCATTAGAATGTAAGCTCGACGAGATCAGGGCTTTGTCTGTCTGCTCACGACTGTAGCCCCAGTGCCCAGGACAGTGCCTGGCACACCGTGAGTGCTCTGCAAACGCTTGTTGAGTGAATAAATGGCATTGCTCATAGACAAACAAGTCCCCAGTGGAGGAAGGATGACTTTGGCCCAGAGTAGACAAACACGGCTGAGAGCCTGGCTCCGGGCTGGCCTGCCTGCGTTTGAATCCCAGCTCTCTCCCTTGTCGGCTGTGACCATGGCAGTTCAGTGAAACTTTCTGTGCCTGTGTTCCTTGTCTATGACATGAGAAGGATGCCCATCCCTCCCATTAGGCTGTGTGAGGAGCACAGGAGATTTCACACGTGAAGCCGCCCGGCTGGTGCTCTGACTGCTGGGTAAATGTTAGCTATTTTTATTACACCTTGTAATATCACTTTGGGGAAAGTAACTATGTAAAACACATAAAAAATTAGGCAGAAGATAAAAAGAAAACTGAGATGCAGACCAGTATGGGGGAATTTTATTGTATTTATGAGGGGAAAAGTGGGTTAGAAGTTAAATAGGATTAACTGGATGCAGTTGGGTTTTGGCTGCAGGTCGCATAAGACGCAGGCGGAATCTTCATCCTTGGGAATTCCTGTGGCAGAAAGAAAGAGAAAGCTCAATGAGGGGACTGCAGTAAGGGGGAGTTAGGGCAGGACCCCTAGAACTTGGGTGATGGGTATTGCAGTGAGGGGATTCTTTCCTCTTCCTGGAACCCCACAGTGAAGGAAACCACTGAGCCCCCTAGATGCACACACATATTCCTACCCGTGCTTCTGCCGCAGGGCCATCAGGACCTTCTCCAATGCCATTGGCTCTTGTTCCGCCGACATGCTGTCCATCTGACGGCCAAACCGAGTCTTCGCTCCCTGCTCCTGGTTTCTCTCTCTGTTAGATTAGAAAAAGAGAAACAGCTAAGGTTGCTATTTGGGTAGGATGTGGGGAGGCCTGGGGAGGGCCAGGGCAGAGCGAGCAAAGTAGGGTGTGTCCCGATGCCTATTCCAACGTCTAGTGGGGACGCTTCCACCCAACTGAATTAGACTGAGCCACATTTAGGAAGGCAGCCTATATAGTAGTGAGGAGTATAGGCTGTGAAATACACATTTGCAAAATATCTCCCCACAGATTACTTATTCATTACAAAGAAAAAAATATTAACTATACAGAGAAGAAGCCTGGCAGACACCATGCTAACCAAGTGATCAGTTACCATCACCAGTGATGGGACAAACTGACATCATGTGCCTCCCGATGTGACCCACTGAGAAGGACACCACATCACCTCTGTGAATGCAAACTCGAATCTAATTATGAGGAAACATTGAGTAAATCCAATACGAGGGACATTCTGTAAATAGTTAGCTTTTACTAATCAAAAACATCAGTGTCACGCAAGACAGAGGAACTGTTGCAGATGAAAAGAAACTGAAGAGGCGTGACAACTAAATGCGAACTGTGATCCTGGATCAGGAAAATAAATAGTTGTTATAAAGGACATTTGGGGACGACTGGTGAAATTTGAACATGGACTCTAAGTGACGATACTGTGACTATGTCTGAGCACGTCCTTCTGTTAGGTGTTAGGAGACACATGCAGAAGTACCTAAGGGTAAAGGGTCTTGACGACTGCAATTCACTCTCAAATGGTTCAGTAAAATAATAATAGTAACAAGTGCGTACGTGTGTCTGGGTGTGCATGCATAGATCCATATCTAGGTATAGACACAGAGTGAGCAAATGAAATAAAATATTAGGATTTGTTGAATATAGGGAAGGGTATGTGGAAGCCCATTGTACTAATGCTGCAACTTTTCCACAAGTTTGGAATTTTTCAAAATAAAAACGACAAAATGGGGTCAGGCTGTTTGGCAGGTGTTCAAGGATCATTTCATGGTTAGAGGTAAGCTGAGGTTTGACAGGGGGGGCCTCCTGCTATAGCAAGTCCAGAAATGACAGATGCTGTGTGAGAGAAGTGACCAAACTTGGTCCCTCCAAACTCTGATGCATAGAAGTATGGGAAGAAATCACAAGAACTTCTGCTCACCCGTGCTGTCTGCTCATGATGTCCTGGAGGATCTTGCGGGCAGAGAGCTGGCCCAGCACCTTCCGGTAGTTGTTGGTGAAGATGGCGTCTGCATACCGAGGCATCCTATATGGAAGGAGTCAGAGGTCAAAGGGTGGGATGGTGCAGCCAGGCGAGGGGACAGCGGAGGCTGCACTCACGATGACAGGGAGGGACCCCGGGCTGGGTGACCTCTCCGGAACTCAGGGTCTGCCCCGTCCCAGAGATGGACAGTGGGGGGCTGCCTGAGGAGATAGCTGGGGGCCAGCTTATGGCTCTATTCTGCACCCCTAAACCACCCCCTGGGTGGCAAGAATGGCTTTGGGGCTGCTGGCAGGACTGCTTACCTGAGGGGCAGGGAGGGTGGGGAGCAGTGGCAGCCACCACTGAAGATGAGGATCGCGAGGAAGAGCGCCCAGAGCCGCATCGTTCACCCCTGCAGTGGCACCTGGAAAACGACAAGAAGGAAAGGTTAAGTGAAGGCCCAGCCACAGGGATGCCCTTTGCTGGCTGGGTCCAGCCCTGGCTCGGCTCTGTACAAGCCTTGGTCCCGATCCTTTGGATGTTCTGGGGTAGGAAAAAGAAGCCAGACTCTGGAAGTCAGACAGACCTGGGTTCAAGTTCTGCCTCTGCCAGTCATTTTCTCCATTTGTAAGACTGGCATGATAAAGCTGCCCTGCTGACCTCATGGGATTGAAGAGAAAATTAACGATAATGGGGAAACCGCCTGTGGCTGTGCAGCATATTATACAGCAAGGGGCAGGGGAGGGGCAAGCACCGTCCCTTAGTCCCCTAAGTCACCCCTCCCAGTGTGGCCCTGATGGTAGTGAGCGGGGCTAACAGCTCAGGCTTCGAGTCAGACAAATCTGAGTTCATCTCCAGGCTCTGCCATCACAAGCTGTGTGTCCCAGGACAAGAGGCTTCTCCTTTCTGGGCCTCAGTTTCCCTATCCGTAAGATGGAGTCAATAACTGCACCAACTGCAGAGGGTCTTTGTGAGGATGAGATGAGATGACAATAGCCTGGCACACAGGGAATTCTCCATAAACCTTTGCTGTGATGACCTAATGTTAGACCCACTCAGAGCCCCTGTGCCCTCCTGGCCCACACAGCCCACCCCCCACTTGCCCTCTGGGGCAGGTGCCACGATCTTCATTTTACACCTGAGGAAACGAGCCCAGAGGGGGAAAGGGCCTTTTTCCCATGCTTCTCCATCAAATTAGTTTCAGAGTGGGCACTTCAGAATGGGCCTCGCAATTCCCAGGCCAGCAGACTTCCTCCTGCTCCGCGTGGCAGCCTCCAAGATACAATACCCTATTCACAGCGCTCCCTATTCATGGGCCGCTTCAGAATTCATCACCTGCGCATGGGAAACGGTTCTGAGAAAACGGAAAGCTTTTGCTCTTTGTCACTGGGTTTCTAGGGAAGAAAAAAGGGAGACAAACAGGGACAGCTGCTTGGCCGGCACCTTCGTATGCACATCCAGTGGTTTTAGGGAGCTGAAAATAACCTGAGAAGAGGGCAGACTTTGACGGGGGAGTCACAGTAAATACTGTGACCCCCGACTCATCCAGAATGAGGCCAAGCAACAGCATAATCTGGTCAACCAAGAGGCACAAGGTTTACCATAAACCACGAGCCCCCGGGATGCGTCAAGACGCCATTGCAACCTACGGGCTATGAGAACCTAATCCACAGGGGGTCAAAAACTCACCGGACAAAGACGGGAAACAACAAGAATTATCCAGCTTATAATATGAAAAGAATAGAGCTTGGTCACCAAGGATAAAGTAGCTGTTAACAGACATATTCCACATGACCAATCTAAGGACCCAAAATTCACTGAATTAAGTGTAGCACAAATCCAACAGCCTCATCGACAACGCCTTGATGGCTCCAAAGGGCATTTTAGGGCTTACCATCTATCACGATGAGTATCAGCTCTCCGCAGCACTTACAAACGCAACCTGTGATTACATAGATTTGAGGTTTTCTGGATTCAGGATAAATGGGCACTTGATCTACGTCAGTTGGCACCTTCCGTCGGCTTTCACGCCAAGAACGACACAAGAATCATGCAGATGCGCCTCCCGCTAACGGCAGAGGTCAGCTCTCAATACTAGCAAGGCCGCTTCTGAACACCTAGGAAAAAAAAATCTTTTCCCTTTTTACATATTCTGCTCCATAATTTAAGAACCCTAAAGCACGCACATCCTGATCCAATTTATAAACAGTTTCAGCAATAATGTTCCAAATCGAAAGAGATCTAAGTTTTTAGAGGAAACATCTTGAATCATCATTCAAAAGAGTGAGACCTGGCCTCCTTTCAGAAGGGGTTTGAGGCGGTTTATGGTGAAAGATACAAATACTTGAGGACCATTAATTAAAGCACAGATCAAGAGACAAGCGTGGGATGACAGAGCGCTCCAAGGGCAGATAACTGTGTCTAGAACCTAGAGTAAGGAGCATGGCTGCAACCGCCCAAGGAAGCAGAATGTTATCAATTTGCAGGCAATTACATCGAACCGATTCCGAGGGATAGATGAGTGGTGTTGATTTACGCGGCTGCTTGGCTCCTTTCGGAGCCATGGTAGAGTCCCATTGTTGTCAAGAGGATCTAGCCGGCTCATGTCTTGCCCCAGACACCTGCCTGCTCACCCTTGACGGAGCTCTGAGACCGCATCCGCCTCCGACAAACACCTAGAACGTGTCTGTCTGTCTGCGGCTCCTCCAAGGGTGAGACGCCATGTACCCGAGACAACCTCAAAATGGCGCCAAACATCAAAAGCATGCTCCGGAGCCCTTACCAAGAAGCCTGAATGTACTCACCGGTCCGTGGGCAAAGAGGAAGGTCTTGGGCCTCTTTGACTCGGTTTCTCTGAGTTGGTGAGAAGGTCACGTCTCTCGCCCCATCCACCCAGGACCCAGGGACATCCCCGTCTCACCTCCGATGTGGCAGGTCTTCCTCTGCTAGGCGGTGCTGCTCCGGTCACGCGGCCCTCGAGCTCGCTGTTTGCTCTGGCGGCTGCGTGGCGCTCTCATCATTTATACCTTCGTTTTTGTCAGTGTTGCCAGCGTCAGCGAATCAATTACCGCGAGTCAACCAATGGACCACTTTTAGCATCACGCTGGCAAACCTAACAGGCGAAAGAGGTTTAGCCCCTTGCGAACTAAGACTCATAGCGAACTTTCTCTCTCTTCGAAGGAACGGACAGAGCACAAAGTTACAATATTATTCCAAGAGGAATAAAGCGTGTAATGCTGCTCGTAATTGGAGTCCTCGTAACAGCGAAACACCCGGCGTTCATTTACTCTCTGAGATAAATGCGCCTTTTTAAAAGTTCATATAATTTTGTTTTGTCCATGTGCGACTTTATTTCATTGGAGGGTAGTCAACAGTACAGACAGGTGCTTTTCTCTCCTTCGTGCGGAAGGTTGTCTGCTATCTCCCCGGTCGTCCACTTATCCAGACTTGCCTCTACTTGAGGTGCACGTGCTGCGGTCACAGGCCGGCGGCGGCAGCCAGCCCGGGAGCATCCGCCGACGCGGGTCAAGGCAGCCAAACGCCGGTAGTTGCCTCAGAGATGTGCGGAGAGGAGAGACATGGAGAGGCTTGGGAGAGTTGTGCTTCCAGGTTTTTCTAGCCTACAGCTAGAGAATCCCCAGGAACGGCGTAGAAGTGTGCACGGCAGAAGCGCTGGCTCCCAGGCGGCCGTGTTGGAGGAGTGGAAGGAGCTGCAAGCTTGGGGAGGCCAGGGGCCTGCTGCCCCTCACGACCTCTGAGACCCTCAGCAAGATACTTCTACCCTCCAGGTCTCAGTTTTCACACCTGGAAACTCAAGCGTTGACAGAAGAGCACCTTTCAAAATTTTTAAAAAGTGAGGGCCTGCCCGGTGGCGCAGTGGTTAAGTGCGCATGCTCCAATTCAGCGGCCGGGGGCGGACATAGCACCGCTTGTCAAGCCGTGCTGTGGTAGGCGTCCCACATATAAAGTAGAGGAAGATGGGCACGGATGTTAGCTCAGGGCCAGTCTTCCTCAGTGAAAAGAGGACAATTGGTGGTGGATATTAGTTCAGGGCCAATCTCCCTCAAAAAAAAAAAAAAACACAAAAAGGAAAAGAGTGGCATAGACCTTTCTTCAGAAGTCTTCGATGGAAGTGCAGTGTATAGAACAGACTTTTAGAACAGGGCTGCTTGAGTGAAGAGAGGAGAAAGGGACTCCGTTCGCCTCCCCTTGAGACCCTGCCTTGGGTCATAGTTAGGACCAGCACTTTCTGAAGGAAACTCCTGGCAACGATATTTTGTATCCTGCTTCTTAGTTGCACTGAGCCATGTTCGTGGCACAGAGCAAACATGGGATGTTCCCCATAGAAGCAGAAACTGAATGGCATGTCACCCTGCTGGCCTGGACACAAAGTGGTCAGGTCATGCCAGATCCCCAGGGATTCAGAGAGGGCCAATGGGTCACAGCAGCAGGTGGCAGATGGATGGACCAGCTGGGCGCCGCCAGGGCAACGGGCTATTATACCAGCAGGAGGTGTGGGGTTATCTCAGTAAATGTAAGGTGGGGACCACATAGACCTGGGCACCCAGCACGGACATCAGTCCAGAGTGCAGGTGTGGGACACACAGAGGTGGCTGGAGAAGCTGTGGGGATCAGGATTCAACCCTGTTGAAGCTCTGTGCTGGGCATCGCACTAAGGACTTCAGGCCTGATCTCAGTTCCTCATCTGTAAAATGGAAGTGATGAAGCTCAATTCACGATGCTGTGGCAGTGCGTAAGGTACAGGCTCTGCGTGCAGTAAGCCTCAGAAATTAGCTCTTACCATTGCTGTTATTGTTGTTGTTATAAATAAGGAGACAGAGGCACAGAGAGGTTACCTACTTATTCATAGTCACCCAGCTGGGCAGTGGTAGAGCCAGGACTCAAACAAAGGTTTCTGACTTCCAAATTCAGTGCCCCACACCAAGCAAATAGTCTCCTAACACCCTTCTTTGGCCCATCAGTTCTTCTTCTCCCTCTACTTTTTTTTTTAAAAAGAACTTTAGCAGTTTTATTGAAGTGTGATTCATATAACGTGAAAGTCACCTGTTTGAAGTCTACAGTTCAACAGGTTTTCATACGTCTATACAGCTGCGCCACCATCACTGCAATCCTGCTTTAGAGCACTTCCATCCGCCCAAAGTTCCCTTCCGCCCTTTGCCATCGATTCCCGCTCCCACCTCCTGCCCCAGGCAACCACTGATCTGCTTTCTGTCTCTATAGTTTTTCCTTTGCTGGAAAGTTCATCTAAATTATGGAAAAATCATATAATATGTACTCTGGTGTCATGCTTCTTTCACTCAACCTGATGTCTTGGAGGGGTCATGCTTCTTTCACTCAACCTGATGTCTTGGAGATTCACCCATACTGACCCATGTGTCAATAGTTTGTTCCTTTTTACTGCTGAG